AATAAAAGGGTGGGGGAAAATATAACAAGCAAATGGCAACCAGAAAAAAGCAGGAGTAGCTATATTAATCTCTGATAAAATAAATATCAATGTAAAAACCATCACAGAGGACAAGGAAGATCACTACAAAATGCTGAAAGGGTCAATAGAACAAGAGAACATAACAATAATAAATATCTATGCATCAAATGAAAGACCAGCAAAATACATAAAACAAACATTAACAAAACTGAAAGATGAAATAGACAACACTACTATAGTGCTGGGAGACTTCAATACACCCCTCTCAAGAAAAGATAGAACTACCAGAAAAAAACTCAACAGAGATACTGAAGAATTAAACCACACAATAAACCAACTTGACCTCATACAAACCATCTTGTCAGACCATAGCGCTAAAAAATTAGAAATTAATAATAGGAGGACAAAGGAGAAAAACACCATACATTTTGCTTGAACATGACTGGGTAGTAGAAGAAATAAAAAATGAAATTAAAAAGTTTCTTGAAACTAATGACAATGAAAACACCACTTGCCAAAACCTCTGGGAAGCAGCCAAAGCAGTAATCAGAGGCCTATTTACAGCAATAAGCAAACACATCAAAAGACAGGAAAAACAAACTATTGACTCTCTAACCCAATATCTGCAGTAAATTGAAAAATTGAAAAAGAACAGCAAGAAAACCCGACACCTTTTAAAAAAAGTGAAATTATAAAAACTAGAGCAGAAAGAAATGAAATAGAAAACAGAAAAATCAATTGAAACTATCAACAAAACTAGGAGTTGGTTCTTTGAAAAGGTCAATAAAATCGATAAACCACTAGCAAAACTCACAAAAGAAAAGAGGGAGAAGACACAAATAATCTGAATAAGAGATGAATCAAATCAGCATCACAACAGACCCAACTAAAATAAAAAAATCTAACATTAGAGTACTATGAAATTATCCAAGAAGCTGGACTCTATGAAGAGGAACGTGGCATCAAGACTGGAGGGAACCTCATAAATAACCTGTGATATGCAGAAGACAGAACCTTGTTTGCTGAAATTGAGGAGGATTTGAAACACTTGTTGCAGAAGACCAAGGATTGCATTCTTCAGTATGGATTGCATCTCAATATCGAGAAAACAAAGATTCTTACCACTGCATAGTGTTATGATGGATGGAGAGGAGACTGAAACTTTCAACAGCTTCATCTTGCTTGGATCCACAATTAACGCCCTTGGTATGAACAGTCAAGAAATAAGGAGATGCATTGCAATGGGAAAATCTGCAGTTAGAGAACTTCCAAATTATTAATGAGTAGAGATGTCTGTTTGAGAACTAAGGTTCATGTGATTCAGGCTATGGTCCTTCCAACTGCTAGCTATACATCCGAGACCTGGACAATGAATGAGGATGACAGAAAAAGAATTGTTGCCTTTGAGCTGTGGTATTGAAGAAGAGTATTGGACATTTCATGGATGGCCAAGAAAATGAATAGATATGTCCTGGAGAGGTTGCAGCCAGAGAGCTCTTTGGAGGAAGGAATGATGAGGCTTCACTCAACAAATTTTGCACATATTGCTAGGAGGTGTTATTCCTTGGAGAGGGACATGATATTGGGAAGGGTGGAGGGTTGGTAGGGAGAGAAAGACTCTCATTCAGGTGGACTGACATGGTGACTGCTGCAATGTGCTCTTGTGTGCCAGCAAATGTGAGGATGGTATAGGACATGACTGGTTTCACATCTTTTGTTCTTAGGGTCTCTGAGAGTTGTATTTGACTTGATGGTACCTAATAACAACAACAACAACAACAACTTATGTGTAACAGATATTCAACAAGGAAACAAAACCTATCAAATAGAGAAACTTCTTCAACAAATGGTGCTGGGAAAACTGGTCTGCTATCTGCAGAAATTAGAAGCAGGACCCACATCTCACATCACAAATTCAACTCAAGGTGGATCAGAAACTTAGGGTAAAGCCCAAAACTATAAAGATCATGAGATATAAAATGGAATCTTTCTTGGAATGTGTAGCCTATGGTATAAATTTTTTTCTTTAGATTAAGATTATATCACATTTAGAAGAATTATCATTAACAAAAATGCTCACAATTATGCTTACTGCGTAATTAAATTACTATTATTTAATAGGTTTAAAGAAATTGGTTTGATATTCATAATATGTAGTTGTTCAGAAAGTAAAATAGTGTGTTTTTTTTCCCCCAGTACTTGTCCAATATACTATCTTGGCCTGGTAGAAAATGTCTATAAAACCAGCTGTATTCTATATACATGATTCTTCATTAATTTTAATTCTTTAATATCAATAAAAAGACACATTTCTTAACCACAGCTTGTATTCCTCTTGTTCTTAGAATGAAAATAACAGAGGTAGGAAGCAGAGTGGCATCCACTTCCTAAACAACATGCCTCTGGTAACTCTATGAACTTTGAGAAATGATGATAGTTATAGAAAGGCTTCAAGTCTTTTGTTCATACGGTCATTATGAGTTATACTCGACTCAACGGCAATCAACAACAACAAATGGTATAAAAGGATGGCAAATACAGCCAGAAATGCACAGCCAAAAGAGGAAAGCATCAATGAACGGCATCTTCTAAAAATTAAGTTCCTGTGTGCATAAAAAACCTTTTTCCGATAGGATAAAAATAAATCTCACTGACTGGGGAAAAACTGTTGGCAAGGACATCTCATAAGGATCTCATAATAAAAGTTTACAGAATTCTACTGGATCTCCATAAGAAAAGACTGATTACTCAGTAACAAAATTGGTAAAAGATATGGAAAGACTTTTCACAAAGGAAAACATTCAGATGGCCAACAAACACAGGAAGTCATGCTTAAAATGACTGGCAATAAGGGATATGCAAATCAAAACCACAATGAGATAAATACCAATGCACTCTAGAAGGAGTGGTAAAGTTTAAAAGGACAATAAGCAATACATTTTGGAGAGGATGTGGAGAGACTAGGACTCTCATACACTGTTGGTGTGACTGTAAAATGGTACAACTAGGCTGGAAGACAGGTTGGTATTTCCTCAAATAGCTGAACATAGAAATGCTATTATGAACCAGCTATTTCACTGCTAGGAATATACTCCAGGGAAAATAAAACTGAGATACAGAGCTCTGTATGCTGATGTGCATAGCACCATTATTCACAATAGCAAGAACCTGGAAACAGCCCAAATGCCAATCAAAAATGGAATGTTTTGAGACATGGTGGAATACTATGTAGCACTCAGGAGCAATGATTTTGTAAGCTACTATATAAAACTACCATATAACATGAGAGAAGCTAGAGAACATTATGCTGAGTGTTTTAACTCAGTTTCATAAGGACAAATACTGCATGAGATGATTATTGTGAAAACAGAAAAATAACGAGTAAGATGTGGATAAAAGTCCTAAGGAAGGATGGCAGGAGGGCTAAGAGGGGGAAGCTGAGGTAATAATGGGGTCAAAGAATTTTGTGTACAAGAGGGAAAGGGTGAAGTAATTAGGATAGATCTATATTACATCAACAGAGAACTGCCAGAAATACGAGCTGTGCTTAGAAATGGTCACTGCGCTAGGGACATCTCTGCTGATGTCAGATGGATCTTTACTGAAAGAAAAGAGTGTCAGAAGAATGTCTGTTTGTGTTTTATTGACTATACAGACATTTGACTGTGTAGATCACAACAAATTGTGGCTACCATTAAGAAGAATGAGAATCCCATTGATTGTGCTCATGTGAAACCTATCCTTAGACCAGGAAGCAGTTATCCAAACAGAGCAAGGAAACACTATTTTTCAAAATCAAGGAGTGGTCATGGATGCCTCGTGTCTCCATACTTTTTCAATCTATATGCATAATATGTCATTTGGGAGACTGGACTTTATTAGGAGGAATATGGCATCAGGATTTGAGGAAGTCTCATCAACATCTTGTGTTATGCAGAGGGCACAACCTTGCTTGCTGCAACGAAGAAGGACTTCAAGTGTTTGCTGAAGAAGGTCAAAACTGCAGCTGAACTTTAGTAAAAAAAAGAGTCTCAACATCAGGTGAAGAGATTGAGATTGCTAACAATTTTATCATACTTGGGTCCACTCTTAGCACCAGCATTCAGGAAATCAAAAGATGAGTTACTTTGGGGAAAATCTGCAGATGTGGACTTCTCCTGAGTGCTGAAGAGCAACAATGTCAGTCTAGCAACTAAGCTGCACCTGATCTGTGCTATGGTCTTCACAATTACTTGCTATTCATCAGAAAGCTGGATAATAACTAAGAATGACTAAAGAAGAATTGATGCTCTTGAGTTTTCGTGCCAGAGAAGAGTATTAAACTGGACTGGAAATGAGCTGCCAAGAGAACAAACAGATCTCCCCTGGAGAGAGTAAATCCAGTTTGCTCCTTGTAAACAAGGATATTGAAACTCATCTCACATACTTTGGGGATGTTGCCAGGAGGGATCAGTCCTTGAAGAAGGATATCATGCTTGGAAGGGTGGAGGGTCAGTGCAGGAGAGGAAGATCCAGGATGAAGTAGGTTGACACACTGACTGTGGCAGTGGGGCAGGTGTGCAATGGGGGCAGATGTGTGAGAGATAGCGAGTTTGCTCAAGATAAAGCAGGGTTCAAAGGTATTGTTTATATGGTCGTTTTAAGTCACAACTCACATAACAACAACAATGAGGGCCTGAAAAGAAGGGGTGTTAGTGGGTACAGATCAATGGTGATTAATTTTATAAAACACAATGTATGGGTATGGTCCCATTCACAGTGTATGAAATACAATATGTATGAAGGAATGTATGAAACACAATATACATAAGTGGAGCACAATATTTTTGACTTTTGTATGCAAACAAATGTAAAAAAGGCAAAAAAACCCCATCCTATCTTTGAAATCAAGATAAAACTTTCCTAAGAAAAAAGGAAGGAGAGGAGGATAGAAAAATAGTTGAACTAAGCTAGATAGACAAAAGATAATTTTAACTTACCAAAGTTTTTTCAACGATGATATATATTTCTAGATGATGAGGAAATTGTTTTGAAAATAGATTTCTCTGAAAGAAAAAGGAATAGCACCAACAGATTTATACATCAGTATATTTGTTAAGAATAAAGCACTGACATTTAAAGACAGAAAAAAATGGCTACCTATAAAGCCATCACTCACTCACTCTTGATTGCTGTTCAATCAAAATCAACTATCAATATGACCCACAAGAGGATATTCAGAGACTGTCATGGGAAGAAATTGCCCATCTTTCTCCCTTGGAGCTGCTGGTGGAATAGAATCTCTTGTGATTGGCTTGACCACCAGAGCTCCATGTAAAATTCTTTGTGAGGGTTTAAACAAAATAATTTAAAAAAAAAAGTAACGGAAAATTAGAAAAAAATTCTTTCAAATAAATTCCAGTATTATAAATTCTTGGTGAACCGACTAGAGTACCTACTAGTCCTATGTTAGTATTGAATAAGAAGTGAATATAGAGATACGCTTTCTGCTATCTTCACCAAATGATAAATTTGCACTACTAGTCCACACTTGATAATTCACATTGGCTACGGTATAGTAAATTATTAGCTGAAAGGCCACAACTCTGGCAGTTGGAATCCATCAATTGCTTCCCAGGGGGAAGATGGACACTCTCTTTTCGTGTATTTTACAGCCTAAAAATCCCACTAAAAATAAGACATGAGTCAGTTCTGATTCTATAGTAAAGAATTTTTTATTAAAAAATATAATATTGGAAATAAATTATAAATGTCTTTCATCTTATAGACATTCATTTTAGTAATGTACTATCTTCTTAAGTCATTTTATAATTTTCTTTAAATCTCAGGACACTTAGGATGTAGCTACTATAAAATAATCTATACTGTTCCCTAGTTCCACTATTATATGGGTGTAATGACATAGCACCCCTATAACAACACATCTGAAACTTGCCATAAAAATAGCAAGGGCAATGTATGAAAGGCCATAGCTGACCTTTACTTACTCCACAAAGTCCCCATCAACAGTATCAATAACACAAAACCAATTTTCATGCTCCCATACCTTCTTCCTTCTTCCCATCTCAACACCAATTTTACTGTTTTGCTGAGTACACTAAGTGATGTGATAGCTCACAGACCACACAAAACAATGTTGGGGAAGTCAAAAGGTTATAATCCAGAATACAGTAAGGACAGCTTCTGAAATGTGCACACAGGCACTTCAGCCTTGACCCTCAAGCTTTTGGTCTGTATTACAAAATTTTTAGTCCTGTCAATATTGTCTCCCTGCCCCACAATTGTCCAATAAATTTAGGTAAAGGCTCTTACTTAGCTTTGGTTCTGTGAAGGTCAGGGAAGGGAGGACAAGTAGCAGTCCTATTTCATGTTGATTCTTTGGTTCTCTGCTTCCACCATGGCTGTGCTGTTGTAAGTGTAGCTGACACCAGAACGTTTGGTCCTAACGGGCATCCACTTCATACCTACTTATTTGCTGGTCGTGAGAGAGACTCTTCTTTGCTGAAATCTCTCAAATTTATTGGCGAGACTAGCCAATCCTCTTGTATATTGGTGAGACTGACCAATCCTCTTGTGGAATAATAAGATAGCCAATTCCCTTGTGTATAGGCCAACAAATGCTATTCTCATATTCTCAGCCATCCACCACATTGCAGAGTCAAGTACAGTGGCTAGGATCACCATATTGATAAATAAACTCCATACTTGCCCTATCCTGCACTATTCTCATGATCTCTGTCATGCTTGAGTCCATTGTTAGAGTTAATATGTCATTCCATTTTGATGAGGTCCACCCTTTCATTTGCTGACCCTCTGCCTTTTCCAGCTTGATGTGTTTTTGCAAGGACTGGACCCTCCTGAAAACATGGCCAAAGTATGTGAGACCAAGGAATCTTCTCTTTAAAGAGTATCCCACATGCACTTCCTCCAAGACAGATGTGTTAGCTTTTGGCAGTTCATAGGATATTCTGTTGTTGTTGATTGTCATTGAGTCCAGCATGACTCATAGCGACCCTCAAGGATATTCAGTACTCACCTACTAATAACATCTCTAACGAAGTGGAAAAAGATGTTACAGTCTACTTCCACAAAGGTTGCACCCTGGAAATTCTAAGGTATCTTAGAATTGATGTTAGAATAAACAAGCTAATAACAGTAATGAGATCTCTGGTGGAAAGGAGGGAACATTTGTTATGCTCTACATTACATCTAAAAAAGGAACAAAGACTTTTGAATACTACATACTAAACACCCAAGTTCATAGAACCTGCTTAGCAGTAAATTTCAATCAGAAATTCAGAGAACAAACCTGTCTCATGCTAATGATGCTCACTACTAAAAAAATATGTTAAGAAAAATGAATAATTGCGAGGATGTGGAAACAATTAAGTCCAGCCTCTACTAACTCCACAAGGGAGAACTGTATGCCGTCAATAGCATCCAAAAGACAAAACAAATTCCCTTGAGGTGAAACATGTCCTTTCATGCTCCTGGGCTCACTTATTTGGTTTGAAAGTCATTACAGGGACCATACAGTCTTGATAGAACCATATTCTTGGTTATAGGATATAGGATAGGAAGTTATCAAACTATAATTCAAATTAATAGATAACCCTCAGTTCAGAGAGCTCCTCAAATACAATCCCTAAAAACGTATAATTCAGATTAACAGAAAAATACAATTCCTTAATCCAGAGAGCTTTTAATTGAACAGAAAGTGCAATACCTGAATCCAGAAAACTGTTCGTTTAACAGCAAAGTACAATCCCTGAGTCCAGACAGATTCTCCGTCAACAGCAAAATACAATCCCCCTGGCACAGGAATCTCTGACTCCAAAGGACACACTTGTCCATTCTCTGCTATTTCTTATTCCCTGATGGCGAGACTCCCACTTTCTGCCACTGAATCTGATCAATTATTGAGGAAGAGATGGCTCACACACTTGATGATGATGTAGGTGGAGCAATGTGTTTGCAAGGTAGGCAGAATTGAGGCAGCTGGATCTGATTAAAGAACATGATGTATTGTTGTTGTTGTTATGTGCCGTGGAGTCGTTTTCGACTCATAGCGACCCTATGCACAACAGCCCTAAACCCTGCTCTATCCTGCGCCAACCGCACTGCCTCTGACACACCCATCCCAATTACCCCAGTCACCGAATCAATCCATCTCATAGAGGGTCTTCCCCTCCTACGCTGTCCCTCCACCTTCCCAAGCATGATGTCCCTCTCCAAGGACCCGTCCCTCCTGGCAACATGTCCAAAGTATGTCAGACGAAGCCCCAGAATCCTTGCCTCCAAGGAGTAGCTTGGTTTAATCCTCTCCAAGATGAATCTGTTTGTTTTCCTGGCAGTCCATGGTACATTCAGTACCCTTCTCCAGCACCACAGCTCAAAAGCATCCACTCTCCTTCTGTCCTCCCTAGTCATTGTCCAACTCTCTGATGCATAACAAGCGATTGCAAATACCATGGCCTGTATCAGGCGCACCTTAGTCTCCAGTGTAGCTAAATTCTTAACAGACCTACTATATCGCAAAAAGCCATGCCAAAACAAAGCTTAAAACCCTAAAAGGGGGAAAAAAACAAACCACAAAAACAAGCATGTACATAAGAGTGCATGACCTAGTCACAGGAAAAAAATGGGAAATTCTAGTCACCCTCTTTGGGAAAATGTTGATGTTGGACTTTAAATATGTTCTTTAAATAACTTTTAAAATAAAGCATTCGGATGGCGGGGAAGAAGAACAAACTGGGGAGGAGGGTGCAGAGAATGGTGCGGCAATGAAGGAGTGAAAGCCCAGAATCCCTGTGAATGTTCATTGAAACTAATAAAATTTAATAATAATAAAAAAATAAAAATAAAGCATTAAAATTAAATATAAACAAGCATAAATGTCAGTAATGATATAGAAATTATATAAAAAAATTAATGGAGTGGAAAAGCAAAGTAACTGAAATGAAAAACTCAGTGTTGTCATTTATTGTCAAGTTGAAGCAGACCCAAAGCTGAGCCTCCAGTAGTTTTGCATAGGTAAGAAATTGCATAGGAGGAGACTGGCCTTATTTCTACAGTGGAGCAACTGGTAGATTAAAATAATATACTTTTGAGTTGGCAGTGCAATTCTTTACCACTGAGCCACGAAAGCTCAAAAATCATTAAAGAAGCTTAACAGCAGATTTTAGTAGTTAAAAAAAAGTGCATCTGAAGATAGGTGAGTGCTATACCTAAAAATTCACAGTAGAATAGTTAATAAGGAAAATCAAAGAATTGATGCCTTGACATTATGATATTGTCATAGAATATCGAATAAACCATGCATGGACTGCCAAAAGAACAAATATGTCTATCTTGGAAGTGGTAAAGCCAGAAGCTCTTTACTAGTGATGATGGCAAGACTTCATAGAATTTTTTTTAACATATAGTAACTACACAGCAAATTTAATACTCTACTGAAACTTGTTCTTCAAACAGAAAATTTTTATAATTAACAAAATTGTATAGAGATAATTTCTTAGTACATCATAACATCAGAATCATCAAAGATACCTGTGAATTCATATGACCTTCCAGGGGCTGGTCCTTGTGCTGAGCATTGCTTCCACTTTCTGTTAACACTGGGATTTCTAGACTGTTGTTTTTCACTTGATATATTATGTGTTTAAATCCCGCACAAGATCCTATTGGTTCAATTCCAATGGTAATGTTTTCAAATTGAAGAAACCCCCTGTATACTCAGAAGAAAATAATTATAAAAATTCCAAAAATTGTTCCTTCAAAGTAATAAGCTGAAATGTGAGAAATAAGAAACCATAGTAATAAACGGGGTTAACCCCTCTTTCTTTTCCTATGTGTTTTTTTGCAGCTTGCTTCTAGTTAGTAGATGATCACATTTTCCTTAGTTTTATTCACATTTTCAAAGATTAAATATATTGAAAAAATTTTCTAATTTCTGGGTTGTTGTTGTTATTGTTAATTACCTTTTAGTCAAGCATGACTCATAGCAACCTTATGAACAAAAGGCCTGAAGCACCTCTACAACTATTGACATTTATAAAAATTCATAGAGTTTCTGGAGGCATGATATTCATGAAGTGGATTCCACTCTTGTTTCCAAATCTGTCATAGTATGTTATGCACCATTTAATCACCTGTGATATATTGCCACTCTATGTACAGCAGCTCTGAACCCTTCTTTGTCAACAGCCAGTCTCACTAACTTTGACACACCAACCCCCATCACCCCAGTTACTGTATCAATCCATCTCATCCAGAGTCTCCCTCTCCTGAGCTGTCCGTCCACCCTTCTGAGCAGGATGTCCTTCTCCAAGGACCAATCTCTCCTTGCCATGTGCCCAAAGTAAGTAAGGTAGAGCTTCAAAATCCTAGCCTCCAAGGAGAGACTTAGTTTCATAATTTCTACGTAGTAATAATATTCCTATAGAATATAAGTATTTTGAGGCCTAATATATTGCTATGCAGAATTTTTAGTAGAAAGTTCCTTTTATTACAAAACTTAAAGGGAATCAAAATATAGAGTGACTGTTTTGGCATTATTATTTTTGTTGTGTACTACTGGGCAATATCTTTCATCTGCTCTTTAAAATGTTTGTCTGTCAGATTATGTTCTAAATCTGAGCAGTCAAAGACAGGCTAGGAAGAAGGATTAGCCACACATTTCTGAACTAGCAGGCCTTTGAAAACCCCATGTACAACAGGGCACACTTAGACTAACTGATATGGCAACAGAGGCTGAGTACACAAGTGTGGAAAAAAAAAGAAGGAGGAACAGCTAAAAGCAGACATTAGTGACTGGAACATGTAATGTAAGAGGCATGAATGTAGGAATATGGGATATTGTTAAGAAGGAAACGAAACATATATAATGACACACTAGATATTGGCAAAATGAGATGGACTGGCATAGGACATTTAGAGCTAGAGGATCATATGATCTACTATGCTAGAGATAAAAAGGTGAGGAAAAATGAGGTTGCTTTTATAGCTAAAAAAGTAATTTCTAGATCCATCTTGAAATACAATATTGTGAGTGACAGGATAATATCCATACGCAGACAAGGAAATCCAGTGAATATAATCTCATTCAAATATATGCACCAACAACCAGAGCCAAAGAGGAGGAAATAGATTTCTACAAACTTTTGCAATCAGAGATTGATCAAACATGCAATCAAGATGCAATAATAATAATAGGTGACTGGAAAGAGAAAGTTGAGAATAGAGAAGGATCAGCAGTTGGAAAACATGGACTTGGTGACAGAAATGAAGCCTAAGATAGAATGATAGAATTTTGCACAATAAATGACTTATTCATTGCAAATACATTTTAGAAGAAACACAAACACAGGCTATACACATGGATTTCACCTGATGATATGCATAGCTATCAGACTGATTACACCTGACTGGAGATGCTCAATATCAGCAGTGAAAACTAGGCCAGATGCTGATTGTGGAACAGATCACAAACTACTCAATTGCAAGTTCAAACTGAAGCTGAGGAAATTAAATCAAGTCCACAGGAACCAAAATTTGACCTTGAGTCTATCCCAAGTGGATTTCAAAACCATCTCAGGAACAGGTTGGAGGACATTAATGAATAAAGACTGGATGAGCTGTGGGAGATTATTAAGAATATCATCCAGGAAAGATGCAAAAGGTCATTACAAAGACAGTGGAGGAAGAAAAGACCAAGACGGATGTCAGAAGAAATTTCTGGAGCACCAAGAAGCCAAAGCAATGGGAAGAAATAAAGATATTAAGGAGTTGAACAGAAGAGTCCAGGGGGCAATGAGGGATGACAAAGTATTACAATGAAATGTGCAAGCAGCTGGAGTTAGAAAATCAAAAGGGCTAGACTTGCTCAGCGTTTCTTAAGCTGAAGGAACTGAAGAACAAATTCAAACCTATAGTTGCAATACTTAAGGAGGCTTTGGGCACTTTGGGCAGAATGTTAAATGATCCAGCAAGTATTAAAAGAAGATGGAAAGTAAGTATATACAGAGTCATTGTACCAAAAGGAATTGGTGAACCCAGAAGAATTTTATGAAACAACATATGAACAAGAGCTTGTGGTGATGAAGGAGGAAGTTCAAGCTGCTCCGAAAGAATTAGAAAAAACAAAGCCCCAGGAAAAGATGGCATACTGATTAACATATTTCAACAAACAGATGCTGGCCTGGATCTGCTCACCAAACTGTGCCAAGAAATCTGGAGGACAACTTCCTGGCCAACTGACTAGAAGAGATCTATATTTGTTCCCATTCCAAAGAAAGGTGATCCAACAGAGTGTGGAAATTATTGAACTGTAACATTGATATCACATGCAAGCAAGATTCAGCTGAAGATTATCCAAAAATTACTGGAACAGCACTTCAACAGAAAACTGTCTGAAGTGCAGGCTGAATTTAGAAGAGACTGTGGCATTAGGGATAGTATAGCTAATGTCAGATAGATCTTGGCTGAAAGCAGAGAGTACTAGAGGAATGCCTATCTGTTTCATTGACTGTACAAAGGCATTTGACTGTGTGGATCATAACACCCTGTGGCTGACTCTGAGAAGAATGGGAATCCCATAACACTTGATTGTGCTTAGAGTCCAGAATGAAGGCTGCATAATGGAGTGTACTCAGGGCAGGAGGATTGTAATACCAATGAAGGAATGTTTCTTTTACTTTTCAAAGAGAAGAGCAAACTGGGGGGAAGCGGTGGGCAGCGAGAAAAGTGCAACAATGAATGACTGGAAATCCAGAATCTCTGTAAATGTTCATTAAAATTAATAAAATAAAATAAAAACCTTATGCTTGGACCTGGAGGCAGCCATCAGAACAAAGCAAGGAAACACTGCTTGGTTCAATATTGGAAAGGGTGTGCATCAAGGATGTGTTCTAGCTTCATATCTTTTCAATCTAGATGTGGTACATATATATTATCCAGGAGGCTGAGCTCTATGAGAAGTGTGGCAACAGGATTGGAGGTAGACTCATCAACAATCTCTGTTATGCAGATGACACAATCCTGTTTGCTGAGGACCTAAAATGCTTGCTGCAGAGGATCAAGGACTGCAGTCTTCAATACACATTGAAGCTCAACATCAAGAAAACAAAAGTTCTCACCACTGGGCCAATTGGCAGCACCATGATCTATGATGAATGAGATTGAGATTAATGAGAACTTTCATTTGTTTGGCTTTACAATCAACACTCTTGGTACTAGCACCCAGGAAATTAGAAGACCAATTGCACTGGGAAAGTCTGCTGTTAAGAGACCTGTCTACAGTACTGAAGAGCACCAATATCAGTCTGGAGACTAAGGTGCGCGGAGACTAAGGTGCGCTTGATACAGGCCATGTTCTTTGCAATTACTTGCTATGCGTCAGAGAGCTGGGCAATCATTAGAGATGATAGAAGGAGAATTGATGCCTTTGAGTTGTGGTGCTGGAGAAGAGTATCGAATATACCATGGACTGCTAGGAGAACAAACAAGTTCATCCTGGAGAGGGTGAAGACACACTGCTCCTTGGAGGCAAGATTCAGAAGCTCTGTATTACATACTTTGGACATGTTGCAAGGTGGGATTAGTCCTTGGAGAGGGACGTCTCCTTGAGAGGGTCAAGGGACAGCATAGAAGAGGAAGACCCTCGATGAGATGGATTGATTCAGTCACTGGGATAATGGGGACAAGCATGTCAGAGACAATAATATTGGCAAGGGATAGGGCAGGGTTTAAGGCTGTTGTACACAGGGTAGCTATGAGTTGCAGGTGACTTGACAGCACTCAACAACAACAAATCCTCTAGTTGAAAGAGAACTTCAGCCGACCGTCCAGTGAATTTTCAGAGGCAGTGAATCACAAGAGAGGAGGATTTTTTTCCTCCTTTTTCTTCCATAGAGCAGCTGGTAGATTTGAACCACATGCTTTTGGGTCAGTAGAATAATTCCTTATCACTGGTATATAAATGCTATAAATCAGAAATCCAAAACAAAACAAGTAAGAAAAATTCTTTTTCCTGCTTTGAACTTTTCCTCTTCTCATAAATTTGACACTTCCAGTGACAGAAAACTCTTTACCTTTAGATTTGGATATCAAGAAAACCATCCATGAAGAATGCAAAAGATCATTACAAAGGCTGAAGAAGAAGAAAAGACCGAGATGGATGTCCGATGAGACTCTGAGTATTGCATTAGAGAGCCAAGAAGCCAAAGCTAAAGGAAGAAACCAAGAAATCAAAGAGCTGAACAGAAAATTTCAAAAGGCAGCTCAGGACGACAAAGCAAGATACTAAAATGAAATGTGCTCAGAGCTGGAGTCAGAAAATCAAAACTGCCGAAATTGATTGGGATTTCTTAAGCTGAAGGAGGTGAAAAACAAATTCAAGCCACGGATGGCAATACTTAAAGATAGTTTGGGTAGAGTGTTGAATGATCCAGGAAGTATAAAATGAAGATGGAAGGAGTACACAGAGTCACTGTATCAGAAGGAATTGGCTGACACAGAAGAATTTCATGAAATAACATGTGAGCAAGAACCTATGGTGATGAAAGAGGAAGTTCAAGTTGCTCTGAAGGAATTGGCAAAAAATAAGGCTCCAGGAGTTGATGGCATACCAACTGATTTATTTCAACAAACAGACACTGCCCTGGATGTGCTCACTAAGTTGTGCCAAGAAATCTGGAGGACAGCCAGCTGACCAACCGATTAGAAAAGATAGATATTTGTTCCCATTCCAAAGAAAGGTGACCCAAAAGAGTGTGGAAATTATCAAACAATATCATTGATGTCACATGCAAGCAAGATTCTGCTAAAAATGATCCAAAACAATTGGAGCAATATATTAAAAGAGAATGCTAGATGTGCAGGCTGGGTTTAGAAGAGGTCGTGGTACTAGGAATATTATAGCTAATGTTAGATGGTTCTTGGCAGAAAGCAGAGAATACCAGAGGAATGTCTATCTGTGTTTCACTGACTATGCAAAGGCTTTCGACTGTGTGGATCACAACAAGATATGGCTGACTCTGAGAAGAATGGGATTCCCAGAACATTTGGTTGTGCTAATGCGAAACCTATACTTGGACCAAGAGGCAGTCGTCAGAACAGAACGAGGAGACATTACATGGTTCAGAATCAAGAAGGGAGTATGTCAGGGATGTATTCTGTCTCCATACCTTTTCAATCTGTATGCAGAACAGATCATCCGAGACGCTGGGCTGTACGAGGAGGAATGTGGCATCAGGATTGGTGGAAGAGTCATCAACAACTTGCGTTATGCAGATGACATAGTCGTGTTTGCTGAAACTGAGGAGGACCTGAAGCACTTGCTACAAAAGGTCAAGGACTGCAGCCTTTAATATGTATTAAAGCTCAACATCAAGAAACAAAGATTCTCACCACTGGGCCAATTGGCAGCATCAGTATGGATGGTGAAGAGATTGAGATAGTTAACAGTTTTAGTTTACTTGGTCCCACAGTCAACATTCTTGGTACCAGCAGCCAAGAAATCAGGAGACGAATTGCATTGGGAAAGTCAGCTGTGAGGGACCTCTCAAGAGTACTGAAGAGCAATGATGTCAGGCTGGAGACTAAGGTGTGCCTGATGCAGGATATAGCTTTCGCAATTACATGCTATGCATCGGAGAGTTGGACAGTGACTAGGGATGATAGAGAATTGATTCCTTTGGGCTGTGGTGTTGGAGAAGAGCCCTAAACATCTCATGGACTGCCAAAAGATCAAACAAATGTCTTGGATAAGGTGCAACTGAAATGCTTTTTGGAGGTAAGGATGGTGAGGCTTCACCTCACACACTTTGGGCATGTTGCTATGAGGGACATCATGTTTAGGATGTTTAGGATCAGTGAAAGAGAGGAAGTACTTCAACCAGGTGGATTGACACAGTGACTGCTGGAATGGACTTTAGTGTGTCAGGAAGTGTCAAAAAGGCACTGGATAGTGTAGGGGTTAGTACTGTTGTTCACAGAGTTGTAAGATGGCTCTTAACAACATGTCTGGTACTGAGTTTCCCAAAACTCTACTGATATCAGTTACTAACACTAATGGATATTACATATAGATTATACAACAGTAGTGCTTAAGGAGATGTTTTAAAACTTAATTTCCTGAAGTTATTAATTTATATGCAATTCAACTAAACTAACTGACATCAAATTGGTTGTGGCTCATAGTGACCCTCCATTTTGGAGGCTGTAAATTTTAAGAAGTAGAGACTTCCTATCTTTCTCCAGAAGACCATTTGTAGATCCGTACCATCAGAAATGAGCAGCCATTGGATTAGCAATACAATGTATTAAGGACTAAGTAACCAGACATACTTCAGTCAGAATTACTTCAAGTGATTTACTTCACTTGAAAGGTTGCTTAGGTCCAGGACTTCCATTAATATAAATAGAAAGAATCATATTACAAAGAAAAGTTTTAGACTTGACTTTCACTTAAATCTTCTTATAATGGAGCTGTATTGACTAAGTAGTAAGGAGTTATGCTGTCAATTCAACGACATATGGTCAGAAGATACTATCTGTTCTGCTGGAGAAATATGGGCATCCTCCTAGTGTGGGATTTACTGCCTCTGAAATCCCACTGGAGGGTCAGTTATGAGTCAGTTCCAACTCAATAACAACATATTTCTAAGTGTCTATCAGTCACTAAGTTTCAAATTAAATTATATTCTAAGTTTTTGATCTGTTTACATCCCCTGAAATGCTATTACCTGAGTCCAGAACAGATGTTGAGTGTCACAACTGAATTTGGAAAATCTGCAACATATCCTCGGTAATGGCAGTTCATCTGAAAAACAGCATAGAGAGAAATACTTTCTGAGTAAAAAAGTATTGTCAAATACTGAAAGAGATTAAATGTATTAAGAGGATTGACAACAAGACTATGGTGTAAGAATTATTGAATGATTTTAAAGGAAAAAAATTGACAACTTTTACCATACCTAAAAATATTCTCTTGTACCTAGGTTTTGTCTTTGCACATGTTATATCTATCTATCTATCTATCTATCTATCTATCTATCTATCTATCTATTATCTATCTATCTATCTATCATCTATCTATCTATATTTATTTGTTTATATTTGTTTGTCAATAGTCAAATTGAAATAGTAGTCAGAATTACATGGAATAAAGTTTCTGCATCCAAAAGTCTACGTGGGACAAATACATAACAAAGAACATGAATAATATATTTTGAAAGGATTAGTATGAAACTGATTTCTATAAGATAAAGGCTAAAAATGTCCTAAATATAATGTTCTACACAAATAAGGGTTAGTCATACATTGTAAACAATTATATTAACCAATTATAATTAAGATAATCAAACAAAATGTCTACGAATATAAGAAAAAACGACTTGTGAAATCACTAAAAAAAAGTTTTTTAAAAGTTCCAAATGGCTATCTTTTCCAAACTGTTATGCCATTTTTCAAGTTTTAACTTCAATTATACCTCCTTTTTCAAACCTCTTACTCCCATTTAGGTGCTCTGTAATTCACTAAAAAGACTCAAAGAAACTAAAAAAAAATCTTCAGGGAAATTACTGACATGTTTGTGGATAGTATAGGCTGAAATACATGGCTGCAAAGGCTGGTGAAGAATGGGTCTGTCACTTCTAGTCTGTAGTTTTCAAAAGAAACTGGATCACTTGCTGCAATGTGCAGAACAACAACAACAACAACAACAAAAAGGTCCTTCCAAGGGCATTCTGTAATTCCTCTCAGCGCTTCTCTCATTGCATAGAAGACCTCAGGGCTGTAGACCACACTCCCAAGAGAACTAAACGTAGTGACTTGGATCGTAGCTCTTAGTAATGTAAAGGATTCAAGACACATCCCACCCCAATCCTGTCTCAATAACACAACAAATAACTCCAGAATTCACAAAGAAGCTAGAGTTTATAATATACCCCCACAGAAAAAAGAGGCTAGAGTTTATAATATACATACTCTTAAACAAAGAAAAAGAGGCTAGAGATTATAATACATTTATAACACATTGCAAAATGGAAGACTATGGCTAGAGGGCCATTTTACTTAATTCATTGTACCCCAAATATTGGTGATCTATTTTCTTTAATAGAGCAGCATACGATAATATGTGTCTTATTGTTGTTGTTTGGTGCCGTGGAGTTGCAGACGACTCATAGCGACCCTATGAACCAACGGCCTGAGCACTGTTCATACATAGAGTTTCCGGAGGCAAGCCATTTCGGAAGTGGATGCTGCTCCTGCTTCCAGGCTTGATTTAGTCGGAAAGCTCCAGCCAACACTGTCCACCATGGGTACCCATTACCACGGTTACCCGAGGGCTCTTTGGGCTTAAGGCCGCCTCCTGGCTCAAACCCTAGGCCCAGGCTCACTTGCCTCGCTCCCCGGGGACAGAGCAAACCTGCACGTCACACACATGCCCGGAAAAGCAGTTGACTGCAAAAAGCTTGCCACGATTCCTGCGTTCATACCACCATGCTCTATCTGGCAAGGAGAACTTCCCGAGACCCTAGGACAACAAAATCTCACCTTTAAATATGAAGATTCAGAATGCAAAGTGCCAGTTTCACCATTTGTGTAAACGAAAAAATTCTGAGGTAACAACGAACTAAGGAACACAAAAATAAAAAGCATTTGTTATGAATTTAATAGTGTAAATAATTAAAGAAATGTGAAACTTAGAAAATACACTTTAATAGAGCTATTTTAGTAAATATAACAAGGAAAATTCAAAGCAAAGAGTATATTAGTCAGAATTTTACTTTCTTACCATTGAAACTGACTCTACTATGATCAAATATTTATGTGCATGTCTGTATATGCCGTCATTCAACAGCTGTTGGTTAAGCATTTCCTATGTAACGAAACTTCTTCTAGGTGTTGTGATGGAACAGAAAGCAAATGAGCAATAATCCACATGGGATGGAATTTATACCACTAATATGATGAGCAAAAAGAAGTACTGTGGTGTTGCTGTAGGGTGGTTGAAAAATTTAGGTAGGTGGCATGGAAAAGTTCACTTAATTGGTCATTAAATATCTTCAAAACAAGTCAGGTGAATTTTTATCTTAAAAAAAAAATAGAAACTTTTAAAGCAGAAGTAGGATATATTGTGAAGATCCTGAGACAGAAACATTATTTGTATATGCAGAGAACAGTAACGGGTACATGAGTGAATTAAGAGAGAAAGAAGCAAGCCTAGAACAAATGTTAAACATATTGATCTGTTCAGTGAAAACTTGATAATTCAGATATGTACTCAGAGTCTCCTCAGAAGAAAGATACAGCAATCTACTTGTAAAAATTCAGCACTGAAAATTCTAGAGTATAATTCTATTATGAGTGACAAGGAATTGCCTTGAGTAGAAGTCTACACAGTAGTAATTATATTTGAGTTTTCATAAAATATTATGCTTCATAGCACATCAATCAGCTATGGGTTAGTTCCATCTTGACGGTACACAACAATAACAAAACAGCTATTGGAGAGTTTTGAGCAACTAAACGAGAGAATCAGACCAATATTTATGATGATATCAGATTGATGGATGTACTGAGGATAATCTGAAGGGACAAATTAGAAAAAGTAGAGATCAGATAAAATGTTATTAGTCATTAGTCACCCAGATAAGAGATAATGTGGCTTGAATGCCAATACTTTGAAAATAGAATAAATAGAATTCAATAACCCTTTTAAATGAGATAAAACAAAAATTTACAAGGGAAAAGATAAAAGTCACCAAAAATTGTTGTGAGAAACTAAAATAATTGTTATTACTTGGTACTAGAGAAATGATCAGAAATAATTTTGAATTTTTAGTATAAGAATTCTAGTAAGTAGCTCCAATTGTTGTTGTTAGGTGCCGTAGAGTCGAGTTTGACCCATAGTAACCCTGTATATAACAGATCTGAACCCTGTCTTATCCTGTGCCAATCTTACACCTTCTGACACTCTAGAGCTCCTTGTAGCAGTCACTGTGTCAATCCACCTGGTTGATGGTCTTCCTGTCTTTTGCCAATCCTCCATATTTCTAACCATGCTGTCCCTCTTCAAGGAATAGCCTCTCCACTTCCCAAACAACATGCCTCCAGAAACTCTATGAACTTTAATAAATGTCAATAGTTGTAGAGGGGCTTCAGGCCTTTTGTTCATAGGGTCACTATGAGTTGTGCTCAACTCAAAGGCACCACCAACAACAACAACCTAGCAACATGCTTGAAATTTGTGAATCAAAGCTTAATCATCTTTGCCTTCAAGGAGCACTCTTAATGAACTTTAACCAAGATATTTTTTTTTTTGCAGTCCATGTGATATTCTGTACTCTTCTCCAACACCATAGCTCAAAGGCATAAATTCTTCTTCTGTCATTCTTATTCAATGTTTAGCTCTCAGATGTATAGAAAATAATTGGAAGGATCATGGCCTGAATCATACACACTTTAGTCCTCAAACTTACATCATGTTCCTCAATAATTTGGAGAGGTCCCTGACTGTAGACTTTCCTAGTGCAATATGTCCCCTGATTTCCTGACTGCTGGTACCAAGGGTATGGTTTGTAGATCCAAGAAATATGAAGTTGAAAGTTTAATCTTTTCTCCACCTATCATGATGTTGCATATAGGTCCTGTGACAAGAATTTTTGTTTTCTTGATGTTAAGATGTAATCCATATTGAAGGCTGTAGCCTTTGGTCTTCTGCAGCAAGTGCTTCAAGTTCTCCTCACTTTCAGCAAGCTCAGTTGAATTATCTTCATAATGCAGATTATTGATGAGTCTTCTTCAGATCCTGATGCCATATTCTTCTTTGAATCCAGATTTTCAAATAATTTGTTCAGTTTACAGATTAAATAGTTATGGAGAAAAGACACAACCATGACTCAAACTTTCTTAATATTTTGTATAATCAAGTGTCAACTGATTAAATAAATATGAGGCTCACTGGAAAGATATATAGTATCTATATACATTTTGACTTAACACATAGAAAGAATTTTGTGACATAATTGATAAATTGATAAATAACTAGGTAGGGAGGAAGGCAGGACGCAAGTATAACACACTAACTGTTGTTGTCGTTATGTGTCATTGACTTGCCTGTGACTCATAGTGATCCTATGTACAACAGGCCTACCCACTGTGCCAATCTCATTGTCTCCAACACACCTACCCCCATTACACCAGTCACTGAATCAATCCATCTCATCGAAGGTCTTCCTGTCCTGCAGTGTCCCTCCTCTACCCTCCCAGCATGAAGTACTATAAACTTCAAAGCTAGGAAAGGTGAGAAAGAATTAGTAAAGAGGACTGGAAAGGAGCAAGTACAAGAATTAAGACAACTATGTGTGGCATTCTGGTAAAAGCAATAAATTATTTTAAGGAAGAGAGAATAAAAAGTAATCAGCTATGGCAAAAATGTTACTTAGTTGAGAAAAAAATGAAGATAAATAACCATCGCATTTAGAGACATAAAGTTTGATAGATTTGTAAGGAGACAAAATAAGTTTGCTTATCAATAATTAAGAACAGTAATTAAATAAATGGCAATAATTTTATCAAATCTGTTAAACTTCAAAGATGTGTCATGGTTTGCTGTTGTCATAGGACTTTGAGTCCACCATGACTCATAGCTACCCTATGAACAACAGATCTGAACCTTGTCCTATCCTGCACCATCCTCAAGACCTCTGATAAGCTTGAGCCCTAAGTCACTCTATTTTGTTGAGGGTATTCCTCTTTTACTCCATCCCTCTACATTTCACAGCACAATGTCTCTTTCCTAGGACTTAGCCCTCCTAACAGCATGTTGGTATTCTTGTTGATTGCCTTTGAGTTGAGCACAACTCATAGTGCTCCTATGAACAAAAGGCCTGAAGTCCCTCTACAACTATCCACATTTATCAAAGTTCACAGATTTCCCAGATGCATGTGGTTTATGAAGTGGGTGCCAACAACTCCTGCTGCTCTGTGGTAGAAAGATAGGCAGTCTCCTCCCATGCAATTGACTGCCTCTGAAAACCCACCAGAGCTACATAATTACAACCGCCACCATGACCATCATAAAAACAATGTAACAGCATGTAGAAAGTATGTAATATAGAGCTTTACCATCTTTGCCTATAGGGGGAAGCTTGCTTGCACTTCCTCCAAGGCAGACTTACTCATTGCTTTAGCAGTCCATGGGATATTCAATACTATTCAGTACAATTCAAAGGCTTTGATCCTTTTCTGCTATCCATATTCAATATCTGACTTTAAGATGATTAAGAAGCAATTGGAAAGACCAAGGCTTGGATCAGGTACACCTTAGTCATCAAACTGACACCATGGCTCTTTAGCACTTTGGAAAGGTTCTTGACAGCAGATTTTCTCAGTGCAATATGCTTTTTGATTTCTTGACTGCTGTTACCAACAGCTTGATTGTGGATCCAAGCAGAATAAAATCATGAACAACTTCTATCTTTTCTCCATGTATCATGTTTTGACTATTGATCCAGAGATGAGGATTTTGTTTACTTGATATTGAGATGTAACATAAGTTGAAGACTGTATCTTTGATCTTCTGCAGCAAGTATTTCAATTCCTTTTCTCTTTCTTCAAGGAAGGTTGTGTCATATACATAACATAGGTTGCTGATGAGTCTTCCTCCAATCCTGATGCAACATTCTTCATCATATAACCCAGTTTCTTGAATGATTTACTCAGACTTTAGATTGGATAATTCTGGAGAAAAGATACCACTCTGACACATACTTTTCCTAATTTTAAATCATGCTGTATTATCTTGTTTTGTCTGGATAACTGTTTCTTGTATTAGACATAGATTTTGCATAATCAAGGAGGGATTCTCAGATTCCTACTCTTCTCAATGCTATCCATAATTTGTTTTGATAGATATAAGATTAACAATGATACTCCATTTCACATCCTCTTAACTCAGCTTGAGTTCTTGGCAGTGTCCTGTCATTGTGTTGTTCCAGCAGTTTTAACAATGTTCATTAAGATTTTACTTGCACGTGATAGTAATGATAAGAGTTTGATCATTCCTATATTCTGTTGGATTTTCTTTTTTTGAAATAGCAACAAATCTGGATATCTGCCAGTCAATTGACCAGGTAACTGTCTTCCAAATTTCTTAGCATAGAATAGTGAGCAAGCCTAGGGTTGCATCTGTTTGCTTGAAACATGTTAGCTTGTATTCCATCAGTATATACTCAGGGAGGTACAAAATAAAATACAATTTTATTATATTTATATAGTATATATTACATTATATTTATTACATATTGAGAAAAGAAAAATTTGAAATCAGAAATTGTTTTCTTAGTCTATGCTCTATGTTAATTGGTGATTGGAATGCAAAAGTTGGAAACAATAAAAAAGGAAGAGTAATTAGAAAGTATAGACTTAGTGACAAAACAGAGACCACAAAGAGAATGATCAAATTTTGTGCATTTAATGATTTAGTAATTGCATATACCCTTTTAAAAGAACAAGTGATGACTTTACACAAGGACCTCACCAGATAGACCATATATGAATCAGATTTACTGTCTGAAATTCCCTGCTTTCAGCTAAGATCCAGCTACCATTAGCTGCAATATCCCTAGTACCACGACCCCTTCTAAACCCAGCCTGGACTTCTGGCAGTTCTTGCTGATGTACTCTTCCAGTCCTTTTTGGATAATCTTCAGGAGAATTTTGCTTGCATGTGAAATCAATGACATTGTTCCATAGTTTCCACACTCTGTTGGGTCATTCTTCTTTGGAATGGGAACAAATATAGATCTCTTCCAGTCAGTTGGCCAGGTGGTTGTTCTCCAGATTTCTTGGCACAACTTGGTGAGCACATCCAGGGCAGCATCTGTTACCTGAAATACGTCAATTGGTATACCATACTATAACGAAAAGTGCAGAGAGCTGGAGTCAGAAAATCAAATGAGCCAAACTCGCTCAGCATTTCTTAAACTGAAGGAGTTGAAAAACAAATTCAAGCTACGGGTGGCAATACTTAGGAATACTTGGAGTACAATGTTAAATGATCCAGGAAGTATCAAAAGAAGATGGAAGGAGTACACAGAGTCACTGTATCAGAAGGAATTGCCTGACACAGAGGAATTTCATGAAATAACATATGAGCAAGAGCCCACGGTGATGAAGGAGGAAGGTGAAGTTGCTCCGAAGAAATTAGCAAAAAACAAGGCTCCGATTGATTTATTTCAACAAACAGACACTACTCTGCTCAAAACAACTGTGAGATATCATCTCACCCCAGTAACAACAGCAAAATTCAACAGAGCAGCAAACAACAAATGCAGACAAGGTTGGGGAACCTGGAACCCTTATTCACTGTTGGTGGAAGTGTAAAATGATCCAACCACTATGGAAGTCAGTATGGCACTTTCTCAAAAAGTTGGAAATAGAAATACCATTTGACCCACCAATTCCACTATAGGGAATATACCATGAAGAAACCAGAACTGCCACAGGAGCATACATATGTATGTTCATGTTTATTGCCACATTGGTCACAGTAGCAAAGAAATGGAAATAACCCAATGAAATACTATGAAGCACTGAAAAATAAGGCACTCATGAAATATCAAACAGAATGGGTGACCCTGGAGGACATTATGTTGAGTGAAATATCTCAGTCAGAAAAGGATAAATAGTGCATAATGCCACTGTTATAAAACAAGACTAGATGGGTATTGAGGGAAACTAAGAAAAGAGGAGATATATAATATATACTGCACTGAAACAGATGAGGGAAAGGACTGTTTAAAAGGAATATATGATGAGGTATTATTTACACAACAATAGTCTAGAATATGAGCTGCATAGTAAAGTAGACTGTGGTGGGAGTGGGGAATTATAAAACAATGAAAGATTTTTTTCCCCCTCAAAGAGAAAAATGAACTGGGGTGGGAAGGGCGGTAAATGTGCAACAATGAATTAATGAAATCCAACTTATCTATAAGTGTTCATTAAAATCTCAATTAAAAAAAGAATATTATAATACCAGAGAAACAACATAAGAGACAACAACAACAAGCATATCAGTGCAAATCAATGGTGGAGAAATGGTAGCAGCAGAGGCAGCCAAATCAAGAGATCATCAAAAGAAGAGCTGTGGGTACCCAGACCACAGAGCAAGAATGTTGAGTGCATTTGAGTAAGGAGGTATATTAGTGGAATAGGAGTCTTTGGACATATGTCAAAGAGCTAAAGCTGAGTACTTTTGGGCCTAGGCTTGTTTAAGTGTATGCTTTTGGTGTCACTTAAAAGGCAGAGCTTAAAGTACTCTGCAACACTTGCCCAGGCCTAAGGCCAAGGTTCAAAGAGACTTTCTCTTCAACCACAGCTAAGGAGAGAGGCTTTCCTAATTATGAATTATATCCTGAGTAGTAACCAATCCTGAACTGCAACAAGTTACTTCCCTAATAAACCCCATAATCATGAATATTGTCTGCAAGGTCTGTGTGGCAATTTCAATAATTTAGCAAACTCACTAGAGAAGTAATGAGTGCTATGGAAAGGAAAGTTGGTGTTACAACTAATTGATAGAAGGTTGGGAGGATATCACAGGAATTAGCTTTGGCCTGTTGTGGCTGATGGAGACTTTTCCTTCCTGTGATGTTAGAGAGAAGGAATCCTGGTGACAGTAGATTAAATGTGCTGTTAATGCAAATATCAGCAGTTCAAACTCACCAGTTATTCTCTGGGAGAAGGATGAGGCTCTCTCCTCCCATTAAGATTTACAATCTCAAAAACTTGATGGAGGGTCATCAAGAGTTGGAACTGACTCTCCAGTGGTGGATTTGGTTTTGGTGCTGTTAGAAGAGGTCAGATGACATAGCTGCCTGTATGCCCATGCCGTTTTTACACACTCTCATAATAAAATGAATATGAAATTAAAAAAGGAGGAAGGGTAATATTACGTTGGGGGAATCTGGTAGATATCACATCCATCAATGATCACCAGTAAAAGGACAAAGGGAAATTACCTGGTAATCCTAAAATACCCATAAAGGTAAAATACCATGGTATCATTTCCGTAATATTCCTGCCAAAGATGCACAGCCTAAATTTTATCATAAAGGACCCTTAGACAGACACAGGCTAGGCATATTAGCCAGATAACAGGTCTATAATCTTGAAAGCTCTATTGGCTATGAAAATAAGAGGATACTTTCCAACCTGAAGGGGAATTGGAAAATAGGACAAAGAAATACTACTGGATCCCTCTGCTTAGAAGACACTCCTGAGGCAATTATTTTCGCTTGATGTCTGTAGGCTGGCTGCTAGTAATGTATCAATATCAATTTTCTAATTTGTATGTATTCTATGGACATTTAAGAGAGTCTTTGTTTGTGAGAAAACATATAATGGAGTTAGAGGATGATAGGGTATCATGCCTGCAACTTGCTTTCAAATGGTTCAGGGAATAAATTATTTTAACTATTATGGTAATTTATGTAGGATTAAATTATTTCCAAATAAAAAGAGGAAAGTCCATTGTGACTTATAATATTAAAACAATAGGAAACGTTTTTATTTCCTGTAAAACAAAACAAAACAAAACCAAAAAAACCAAGAGCCCATTACAGCAGTCATTGTATCAACCCACCTAGTTGAGGGTTTTTCTTTCCTTCCCTTCCCAGCACCACGTCCTTCTCCAAGGAATAGCACATCCTACAGTATGTCCAAAGTATGTTAGGCAACATTCTTGCCTCTAAAGAGCACTCAGTTACACTATCTTCAAGACTTATCTATTCGTTTTCTTGGACGTCCATGGTATGTTCAGTGCTCTTTTCTAACACCGCAGCTCAAAGGATCCAATTCTTTTTTCTATCATCTATATTCATTGTCCAGGTCTGGAATGCATATCTAGTAATCAGAAAAACTATGGCCTGAATCAGATGCACCTTAGTCCTCAAACTGACAGCACGACTCCTCAATAATTTGGAAAGGTCCCTAACTGCAGCTTTTCCAAGTGCAATGCGTCTCCTAATTTCCTGACTGCTTCTATCAAGGGTATTAATTGTAGATCCAAGTAAGATGAAGCTGTTGACAGTTTCAATCTCCTCTCCAACCATCATGACACTGCCTATTGGTCTAATGGTAAGAATCTTTGTTTTCTTGATATTGAGATGTAATCCATACTAAAGGCTGCATTCCTCGATCTTCTGCAAGAAGTGCCTCAAGTCCTCCTGACCTTCACCAAGCAAGGTTGTATTATCTGTATAATGCCGGTTATTGATGAGTTTCCTTCCCTCCAATACTGATGCCACATTCTCCTCATACAGTCCAGCCTCTTGGATCATGTGCTCAGCATATAGATTGAACAGGTATGGAGAGAGAATGCAACCCCGACACACTCCCTTCCCAATTCCAAACCATGCAGTACTCCCTTGCTCCATTCGTACAACAGCCTCCTGATTAAGATATAGGTTTCACATGAGCACAATCAAGTGCTCTGGGATTGTTGCTGTTGTTAGGTGTCATTGAGTCATAGACTACTCATAGCGACCCTATGAATGAAAGGCCTGAGCACTGTTCGTACATAGAGTTTCCGGAGGCAAGCCATTTCGGAAGTGGATCCCACTCCTGCTTCTAGGCTCTGGGATTAGGGAAGCTCAATAACAGCAGTCAAACCACGCCAGGTGCTGATGGTGGAAAAGACCATTAAGCATGTGCAAGCTCAAACTGAAGCTGAAGAAAATGAAAACAAACCACAGGAAGCAAACTATGACCTTGAGTCTATCCCACAACATTATGTTGTTGTTGTCATTGTTGTTGCTAAGTGTCATCAAGTCATTGTGACTCATAATGACTCTGTGTACAACATCTCTCAATCTGGTTCTATCCTGACCCACCCTCATTGTCTCTGGAACACTCATTTCCCTAGTCACTTAATCAATTCACTCATCAGATTAATAAAATTATTATTAAAATTATTATTTTAAATTGTTGTATACTTGAAATTGGTGGCTTTTATCATGTTATATGTAAAGTTATCACAGAAAGAAATATTAAACCACCAATAAATCTCCTGCTGAATTTCCCATCAATTACAACTTGATGTATTGTTTTTGTTGTCATGTATCATTAAGTCAACCATGACTCATAGAGACCCTACAAACAATGGAACCTTGTCTTTCTTACACCATCCTCAAGAGTTTTAACATGTTACAGCCCATTGTTACCATCACTGTGGCAATCCATCTTGTTAAATGGTTGACTTATTTTAACATCACATCCCACATACCTAATGTATAACTTGTGGCATAGCATATACTCAATAGGAAGTATATATATATATATATATATATATATACTTTGCTTAGAAAATAAGCTGAACAACAAAAATGTAAACATCTTATGGATCTTGCATTTAATATATTATGAATCTGAAAATGAAAAAAATAATTTATAACAACCTGTCTATAACATATTGAATTTCTGAATTTAAATTATGTATGAAGTGTTAAAAAAAGAAAATCTAAGCTTTAAGAGAGGAATTTATAGCTTACTGTTTTTCTAGATGCAGAGTGTATGACTTCCCATCCATTGTAATGTCATAAATCACCTAAAAGATCATCAATAAAGATAATAAATTAGAAGTGTGTAAGTAAAACTTTCTTTTTTATCCAATGAGAAATGTGTATAACAAAATTAATACAATAAAACAATAGTCATTTTAAAACATGTCAAGGACCTCTCCAGAGTATTGAAGAGCAACAACGTCAGTCTGGAGACTAAGGTGCACCTGATCCAGGCTATCATCTTTGCAATTATTTACAAAAAGCAGGACAATAACTAGGGATGACAGAAGGAGAATCGATGTTTTTGAGCTGTGGTGCTGTACAATGGTACCAAATATACTATGGACTGCTAGGACAACAAACAGTTTCATCCTGGAGAGGGTTAAACCAGGCTGCTCCTTGAAGGCAAGGATTCTGAAGCTCCGTCAGACACACTTTGAGCATGTTGCAAGGTGGGACCAGTCCTTGGAGAGGAACATCATGTTTGGGAGGGTGGAGGAACAGTGCAAAAGAGGAAGACACTTAAAGAGGTGGATTGACTCAGTGACTGAAGTAATGGGGGTAGGTGTGTCAGAGGCAGTAAGGTTGGGTCAGGATAGAGCAGGGTTCAGAGGTGTTGCACACATATGGTCACTATGAGTCACAAGCAACTTTACTATCAGTCACAAGTCGAACTTGACAACAATAACAACATACATAAACATTCACACATACATTTCATCACTTTACAACCAACACACATCACATAATTTGTGAGGAAAAAGAAACTGGAGGTAAAATCAAAGTAGGCAAAAAGAATGCCACAGCACCAGATGTGAGTTCCAATATATTGTTATTATGTATTGTTAAGTCAGAACCTACTCATCGTGGCCCCTTCAGTGGATTATCAGAGACAGTAAGTCACACATAAAGAGATTGCCCATGTTTCCCCAGCAGTGGATTTGAACTGTTTGTCTTCTGGTTGGCAGCACAGCTCCTTACCATGAGTAAAAATAACACTCAGCATCAGTGGTGGCATCCAGAAACAGAAAGTGACTGCCATTTTACAGGTTGAATAACTGAACTACTTCAGCAAATGCTTACAGACATCCATCAAATCTGCAATTTCATCTCAAAATAAGTTAATTTTAAAAAATTAAATTAAGAAAGGTCAGAGTTTGAAATCTCCTTCATCGCCCCCAGCCATATATTCAAGCCTTTATTATACTGGAATGTCTAATTATTATGATTGAAATGGAAATGTTGTGCACATCTTTAAAAATCAAAACCAAACACAAAAGAGAAAAGAAAGAGAGTGAGAGGTTTAAAAATGGATTGTACAATTTGATGGGGGAGGGGGGTGTGTGTGTGAAGGCAATGGAAAGAATTGGTTCAAATTTGTATTTGAATTTTGTAAATAAATTAGCAGAGAAAAAAATGGAGTTTCTACCCTAAGATACAGGGAGCTCTGCTGGCCTAGTGGGTAAAGAATTGTATTGCCCACCTAAATGCGTGCGGTTTGAATCCACTAGATGCTCTGAGGGAAAAAGATGAACAGTCTCCTCCCTTGAGATTGATAGTCTCTGAAAACCTACTTCAGGGTTGACTATGGATAAATTAAGAACACATTATTACTGGGGAGAAAAATAACTTCAAAGGTGGTTACAAGGATTCAGAATCAATACTTAGAAATGTAGGTAAGTACTGGAGATTTAACGAACACTCCATGGACCGTCAAAGAACAAACAGATATGTCTTGGAAAAGGTACAGCCAGAGTGTTCTGTGGAAACAAGGATAGAAAAAGCTTCATATTTTGTACTTTGGACATGTAACAAGATGTAGGTATTCCTTGGAAAAGGACATCATGCTTGGAAAAATGGAGGGTCATTGAGGAGAGGAAGATCTCTAGCGAGATGGATTGACACAGTGACTTCAGCAATGGATTCTACTGCATCAGAGATGATGAAGATAGCACAGGATAGAGCAGAGTTAGGCGAGCTGTCCAATGGATGGCTTTGAGTCATACTTGACTTGATGGCACCTAACAACAACAACAATTGGATATTTTTTATGTTATGTGCTGTTGAGTTGGAACCAACTCATAGCTGAACTTGCAGCAGGTGTTTAGAGGTATTAAATTGTGAAGAAGATTGACCATCTTTCTATTGCAAAGTATACACATACTGTAGTCAAAACATTTCATTTTTTGTGGTGTAGTTGCTATGCGTTTCATAACAAATAGTATGAAATTAAAAGCTTAATGCCCAATCATAATTCAGAAAAAGAGCATAAAATAATTTTCTATCAAGTATCTAATCTTTTGTGACAGATATTTCACTCAATATCACTACTGTTATAAAACAGGACAAATATGGGGGGATGATGACAGTATGGGTAAGGGATATTTTACGAAAACTTCATTAGAACAGATGAGTGAAAGAACTGTAGAAAAGGAATATATGACCATGCTTTATATGTATGAGAATAATCTGGAACAAAGGGTGTGTTGCAGGGTAGGCTGTCGGAGAGAGAGAAAATGTTCAACAGTGAATTAAAAAATATAAACAAGTAAAGATACTAGAACTAATAAATGGATTCAACACATAATAATAATAATAATAATAACAAAACCCCAAAATAACTGTTCTATGAAGAACTTTTCAATGTAAGACTATAGTGGAGCTAAAGTCATAAGTAAACTAAGAAATATAGCTTTCATACTTTAAATTTTCAACTTCTTTCTTAAAGAAAAAAAAAACCACCTGAAAACAATGATTCAAATACTAAATGATATTGGTAGATCAAAGTACTTAAAAGAAAGGTCAATAGCTCAAATCCACTAGCTGAGCTGCCTCTCTTTTAGGCCTATGTCTAGTAGTGGGATGGCTGGATCATATGACATTTTTATGCACACTTATTTTATTGAAGCATTATGCACAAAAACAAAGAACTGGAAATAATCCAAATGTCCATCAGCAAACAAATGGATAGGGAAAATGAAGCACATTAACAGGCAACACTGAAAAACAACAAAGAACTTGTGAAACACTATATAACATGCATGGATCTAGAAGACATTCATTATGCTGAATGAAGTCAGTCACAAGAGGATAAATAATGTATAAGAGCACTGTTAAAAAAGCTAAAGAAAGGTTTGCACACACAGAGGGAATCAATCTAATATTGTTAACAGGGAAGCTGGGGTAGAAGGGGCAAACAGAAAATGAATTAATAGACAAAAACACTAAGATGGGTGAAGGGAAAAGGTATATGGAATGAAAGGATGATCAGACAGTGTAGATATTAAAACTAATGTTATAATAACTAAAGTTATGGAGCAAAATATGTTTGGGACGATTGATTGATAAGACAGTATATTTTCCAACTCTCACTCAAATTGAAGTTTTAAAAATCCAGCAGCTACTTCATGTATGAAAGACAGGCAGTCTCATTATGATTGACAGTCTCAGGAACTAGATGGTGAGATTGACAGAATGACAATGGTTTGGAGTTTTATATGCATTATTTTACTATGATTTCCAAATATAATCTCATATGTTTTATTTTTATTATAATTTCTCAATATAAAACATAATAATGTTCAATTTCACTGCTGTGTTCCAAGATTTTCTTTTACTATTTATTTTTTAATACTGGTTTACTTACAAAGTTCATATACATTGTTTTTCACATCGGATTTTCCCCCTTTCCTTTTAATTTAATATTTAATATTTAATATTTAATAGGGAGTCCTGGTGGAGTGTTGTTGGTTTTGGGTGGTTGGTTGTGTTTTTTTTTCTTTTTCAGTGATTTTTTTCAAAAATTTCTCCTTCAGTCTGAGAAAATACTTTCTCACTATTTTGATCATATGATCTTAAAACTTTTATTGTTTATTGTTACCTCAAAGATGAGCTATGGTAGCCTAGTAGCAAAAAGCTTCTCTGCAATCCCAAAGTCATGGAGTTTGAAGCCACCAGCTGCCTCAAACTGAAGGATCAGGAGAAGGATGGACAATCTTCTCCCTTGCACTTAACCTGCCTCTGAAAATCCACTGTAGGGTCAGCTATAGGTTGGTTCTGACTCAATGGCACATAGCAACAACAACAACAATAATATAATGTAAATATTACAAGCATGCTAACTTTAAAATGTTTTTATTTTGGACAGCATCCTAGATTATTCTGCAATAGTTTTTCTATGTAGAATTTTTTAACGTCTTTCCCCAGTTAATATTCTTTTCACTAAAAACTTTTTCTCTGTACATAATCAAATCAATTGAACATTTTTATATTTTCATTTTTAGTCTCCATTTCTAATTTTAGGAAATTTCTTCTAAATTTTATACTTTCAGGTCAAATTTGATAGTTTAATTTTTAGTCAAGATCAATTGAACTCTAAAAAATTTTATGACATTAAATCTGGAATATTGTCACTCTTATTTCATAATAAAGTTTTTCTATGATTATTTATATACATCCATTAATTTAGAAAATTCAAGAAAATGTTAAAGAGGACATGAAAGTGAATGAGAGGGTTAAAAGAAGAATTAAAAGAGAGATGTGGAAAAGGATCAAAGCACAATTAAAATGTCTTGCTTTGCAAGCAATGTTCTCACAATACAAAGAAAGGGAGATAATTACATATTAATCAGTCAAACTATTTTTTTTTAAAATCGTGCTCAATTACATGCTTCTCTGACTCTTCACTCTCGTTTGAGCTTATCTTCTGTGGAACTGTGACATACAAGAGTATTTTCTCAGAATCTGCAATAAGAAAATGGTTTTATTTTTTTCAGTTTTGTTTTCCACCAAAACCCATCTATGCCCAGACTGAGTTTCACAACTGTCAGTCTAGGGGTGGGGTCCTACTCTCATAAAAAATATTTCACTTTTATATAAATTTATTTCTATTCATATATATTTGAGGTGTACTTTTCATTATCTTTTCAATTGCACATTAAAGAGTAAAGGTAGTGGTGGTGTTTGGGTTGGTTTTTTTTTTTTAAATGGTATGATATGATAATTCTGTTTCTTTTCAGAACCATATTGGGCTATTTTCCTCAATAACTGAGGAGTGAATTAAGCTCAGTCAGTCCATGCCCACCCCAGCACTCATGCGATAGAGAGGGATACGCTGGGATACTTATTCGGGTCTCTGAGGCCAGTCAGAACCTGATCTCAGATACTGACAGCAGATGCTTCTGCTAACATCCTAGCTTCTCCTGACTTTCAACTGTTGTTAAGCTAGACTTGGATGAAGGTATGCTAAAAAAAAGGGGGGGGGGGGAAGCACAGGGAAAGGCCATGAGAGAATCTTAACAATATCTCTGCCCCTTCTTTGCAACTAATGAGAGAAGGTGAAGGTCTCCTTGCACTTACGTAGGCTGGTGTGTACCGTTCCAAGCCCAGTGAGCAGTATTAAGAGAAAGAACATGACTCCGCTAGACCGCGAAAGACTACAGGCAGCACAGTTAAGGATAAAGGCCGTTGGTGCATCTCTAAGGCTCGCGGTCCCGTCGCAGAATAGAAAGTACCGCTTGCTGCTGCTGCGCTCTGTGGCTTCTCCCTGCCGGTGAAGCCTGTTGTTCCTTTAGGTCCTGATTGGTCTAACCTTAGGGAAGGAAGTCGCTGAGTAGCTTCCTAAGGAAAGGGAAAGGGAAAGGAAACCCAGCACATAAGCATTCACAGCTACCCAACACCGATTTATTGAGATTTATTCAAGTCATTTTCTTTTTTAAACCCTTTGTTATTCTACAGTTAGTAGCCTTGAGCCCTTAGAGAGTGGTGGTGCTAATCTAACACCAGGGATCCACTGTTGTTGTTGTTATGTGCCATCCAGTCGCTTGCGACTCATAGTGACCCTATGTACAACAGCCCTAAACTCCGCTCTGTCCTGTGCCAATCGCACTGTCTCTGATACTCCCATCCCAATTATCCCAATCACTGAATCAATCCACCTAATAGAGGGCCTTCCCCTCCTGCGCTGTACCTCCACCCTCCCAAGCATGGTGTCCCTCTCTAAGGACAGGTCTCTCCTCACAACATGTCCAAAGTATGTTAGACGGAGCCTCAGAATCCTTGCCTCCAAGGAACCACCCAGTTTAACCCTTTCCAGGACAAATCTCTTTGTTTTCCTAGCAGTCCATGGTATTCTCAATACTCTTCTCCAGCACCACAGCTCAAAGGCATCAATTCTCCTTCTATCCTCCTTGGTCATTATCCAACTCTCTGATGCATAACAAGTGATTGCGAAGACCATGGCCTGTATCAGACGCACCTTAGTCTCCAGAGAGACACCATTGCTCTTCAGTACTTTGGAGAGGTCCCTAACAGCAGACTTATGAAAGAGAAAGAGGAGCTGTCTCCTCCCCTTCCTATTTTTTCATGGAAGATCATAATGGGAACTGACTCCATGGGAGTGATTTTTCTCAGTTATGTGTCATAGGAAAAATGAAATATGAACTTCTTTATTGGGCCATTTTCTAGTTATGTTCTTGGTAATATTCTTTCTTATCAGGGTTTTATGTTTTATATTCTGTAGTGGATGAAAATTCAAATGTTAAGTATTACTTTAATTAGGACACTGAAGTTTTAATTATGTTTATAAATAAGTAGAAAATAAGATTAAACTTTACCTTGGATAATAAAATTTAAAACAAATTAAAAGCAAATAACTTTTTTTCAATGATTTCACAATATTTTCCTCCCTACAATACCATATTACAGTCAGTTGGAAAAAGTTCAGCTTTAAAGTGCAACCTACGTGTGTTTTATCAACATTTTTCTGAAACTTTAGGAGGGTAACAAGAGAAATGAAGAGAGGAAAGCTACATGTCCCTCTTCAACTTCTATGGCAAATATTTCAAAACTACCTGTCCCAAACCTAACATCTATCCCAGCTTTACTTAAACCTTTTGCCAGAATACCTTATTACAAGGATGAATATGTCAGAAATTGCAATAATAGGCAGAATTAAGTTTAAAATTTGGACCTGGTACAGAGTGGCGAAATTGGAAAAATTGTTCTAGAAAATTATTCTAATAAGACAGATTGATTAACTCCTTTGATCCATTTGGGATTGTCATTAGTCAAATACATTTGAAGACATTTTTTATGTTTTTATTTTATGATTATGTAGGCCTCAAATGAGGTAGTGGCAATGAAGGTAATGAAAGCTGTGGTAGAGACAATCTGTGATTTGATAGATAGTGTGTGTGAAGTACAACTAGTTGGGAGAGATAACCTAGTTACAACAAACAAAAAGGATTAAGATATCATTACTAAATTGAATGAATCTAGTACTGCCTGAGGTAAATAAAAGCAACTATACATTTGGACTGTAGGGGGACCTCTGCTGGTGTCATCTAGTCATGCTACTAACCCGAAAGACTGTTTCTTTGTCAGTTCGAATCCACTAGTGGCTCTGCAGGAGATAGATGGGCAATATCCTCCTGTAGAAACGGCAGGTTTGGATCATCTGGAGGCTAAGCTATGAGTAGATTCTCACCCAACAGCAACGATATGCATATGGATTAAGGATCTCTTGTGGTGTATGTAGTGTGTTACATCTCAGACTGTTAATCAGGTCAATAGTTCTAATCCTCCATACACTCTATGGGAGAAAGATGGGTACTCTCCTCCCTTAAATATTTACACAGTCTTAGAAACACAGCAGAAGATTGTTAAGACAGACTTGACTAATTGGAAGTAGTTTCATACATTTAGATTGAGATGGAGATGGCAAGTTGACTTTTAAATAAATTCTATTTCAAATATCAAGGGAAAATTAAAGTTGATATGCCAAATAAGTAATAGGGAATATATGAAAAGTTTCCCTTTTGTCTGAGAGAGCTATAACAAACCTCAGGGGGAATGCTAAATGTGCATATGCGTTCGTGCGTGAGCACAGACACACATTTCTTTTTTTGCTACAAAGGAAATTTTTGGCTGTCAATTTTCTTTTTTCCCTATTCTCCTAGTGTTAACTTGGAATAATAGTACTGCCTTGAAAATGTGAACTGTCATTTGAGGGAAGGAAAAAGTCAACTTGCTTAAGGTTCTGCAGTTTTGTTTTTTTGTGATTTTGTTAAAGAAACTTTGCAGGTACCATGAAGGGGTAACGAGATATGGGAGAGAGTGGTGGTGCAAAGTTACAATCCAGAAAATCTATAATTAAGGCATTTATAATTGTTAAGCTTGATGAAAAGTAAGTTTCCTGTGTTTGGAATCATTGGTCATCTGAGTTGGGCAAGGCCATGAGGAAAGGGCCATTGTAGTGGTGGCTGGATATGCTGACATCTGGGTGACTTCCTCTGCATTGATTTGGTTAGGAAGCAGATAACTGCTGCTGTCACACAGGAGTGCACCAGTGGGACCTGTGAACACCCTCCAGGTGACAAGAAGCATAAATAATCTCTTCACCCACTGGAACAACAGCTGTCCTTCCCCTATCTGGTGTTTCACCTGATTTACCTCTCAGTTGTAATGGAAGGGTGGAGAGCAAGGCAATAGTCTCCAAATAGTATGTGATGCTAATTAAAAATCATTAACATTTAAAATTACTTTTCTGATGATGAGCTTAATATTATTGTACCATCTGTTTGGAAATAAGTCAATAAGGGCAAATAAACATGAAGTTCACCCAAGTACCTTAAGAAAGAATTATTCTGTTGTTAGGTGCTGTTGAGTCAGTCATGACTCATAGCAACCCAATGACTGATTGGAACCCAGGCCTATTCTATGCTATCCTTATCATTGCTGTCACACTTGAGCCCATTGTTACAGTTACTATCAAATCATCTCATTGAGGATCTTCTTTTGTTGGCCCTCTACTTTTCCAGGCATGATGTTTTCCTATTCATGCCTAGAACTTCCTAAAAACATGGCTAAAGTATGTGAGATGAAGTTTCATCATTCCCTCTGTAGAACATCCTGCATGCTGCCAATTTGTTTGTCTCTTAGCAGTCTGTGGGACATTCAGTACTCTTCTCCAGCACCACAACTTAAAGGCATCAGTTTTTCTTCTGTCATTTTTACACATAGTCTGTTAGGTGAATAGGAAGTAATGGAAAGGACCATGGCTTGAATCGGGTACACCCTAGTCTTTAAACTGGCATCTTTGTTCTTCAGCCCTTTTGAGAAACCCCCGACATTGGACTTTCCCAGTGCAATACATCTGTTGATTTCCTGACGGCTGGTACCATGGCTGCTGATTGTTAAATCTAAGTAAGGTAAAATCATTGACAATCTCAATCTTTTCTCCATCATGATGCTGCCTGTATGTCCAGTGATGAGGATTTTGACTTCCTGATATTAAGATGTTATCTACACTGAAAGCTGCAGTCTTTGATATTTTGTAGCAAGCATCTCTAGTCCTCCCCACTTAACAAGCAAGGGTGTGTCATCTGCATAAGACAGGTTGTTAATGAGTCTTCCTCTGATCCTGATGCTACATGTTTCCTCATCAAATCTAACTTCTGGATTTTCTCAGCATAGAAATTTGAACAGATATGGAGAAAAGATACAGCTCTGATGCACAACTTTCCTGAAGCCATGGGGGTTTTTGGTTGTTTTATGTTTGTTTTGGTGGTGAGTTGTTCTTTTTTTAAATTGTATACTGATTTATTTACAGAGCTTGAATATATTGCTTTTTCACAAAAGATACTTCCAATTTCCTTAACCCCCCCAATAGAATTGTGCAGTCCTATGACTAATACCCGCCTCTCTCCACCCATCCATGTTTTATTCCTTTGCTCTATTCAAATGACAGATTCTTAGTCTAGGTATAGGTTTTATATGAGAACTATTAAGTGTTCTGGGATTCTCATTCTTCTCTATGTTATTCACAATTTGTTGCTATCCACATAGTCAGATACCTTTGTATAGCTGATAGAACACAACAAAGAATCCTTTTGGTGTTTTCTGACTTCAGCCAAGATTCATCTTGGAAAAGGACATAAAGCTTGGAAAGGTGGAAGATCAGCATAAAGGGGAAGAACCTTATGGCAGATTGACACAGTGAGCTCAAGAAAGTAAGAGATGGTCTGGATGGCACAGTATAGAGCAGGGTCCATTGTCACTATGACTATGAGTCATAGTCCACTTGAGAGCACATAACAACAATAGCATTGCTTCTTTTGTATATTTACTCCTCCTTAAAATTACTATGTAATGCACTTAACAATTATAAATATAGAGACAACTCATGGTTGCTGTGGTGACAAACACTGTAACCAGATGTGTCAAATGCATTAATGGTTATTCATGGTGGACAGTGTTTGGTGGAGCTCCCTGATTATAACAAGCCTGGAAGCTGGAGTGGTATCCGTTTCTGAAATAGCTTGCCTCCGCTGGAAACTCTATGAATGTGGAGAAATAATGAAAGTTATACAAGTGTTCAGGTCTTCCATTCATAGGGTTGCTAGAGTCATCTACGACTTGATGGCACTTAACAACAATTCCATCACCAAGTACGTGGACTTTATTCTTAAAATCACAAAATTCTACTTTGACACCTAAGTTATAGAAAGCCATAGACAAACCAATGGAAAGAATTAGTAAACATTCTTTAAAAAAACCAAACACCAAAAATGATAACAAAACCCTAATAAATTCCAAAACTCTCATTGCAGTTAATTTGGAACTGATTCATACCTGACCCTCCAGAGGGTTCTCAGAGGCTATAAACAGCAGAGAGCTTGCCCATCCTTGTCCTGAGGAGCTGCTGACAGATTTGAACAGCAAAGAGGCACTACCTCTTTGGGTGAGCAGCATAGCTCCCTATGGTCTATACCACTGAGCTACCTTATAAACAATTTGACATTCAAAACTGTATTAGCAATGGCTCAAATGCAACAACCATTTCTAAACATAAAAGGTAAAAGACAGTACATCAGCATTTTATTTTTTCATAGAAAAGCACAGTTAGTTCAGTGTCACAACTTTGACAACATATCAAGTGTATCAAGTGTAATCAACTCAATATATAGATGTATGAGCACACAGGCTTGCATAATTATAGCACTTTCTGGAGTAAGAATCATCACCCCATAGGGAAGAAAATGACAAAAAAAATAAATTTAAATCTCTGTATAGGGGAGTGAATGAGTTAATACTAACTCATAGCAATTTTCCACAACTGGCTTTATAGTGTGTTGTTAAGTACTTGTCCAGTTAGCTCTGACTCACAGTGAAAGAACAAAACACTGCCCGAGCCTGTGCCTGCAATATTTGCCTTACAAAATTTCACAGTCTCTGTGTCAATCCACCTTGCTGAAATGTTGGGGGTCACCATCTCTTTCAATGATCCTCTGCTTTTCTAAGAGTGGTGTTTTCTCCAGGAGCTGGATTCTTAATATCATGCTCAAAGGCTCGCCAGTCATGCTTCTAAGGAGCACTCTGACTGTATTTCTCCCAAGGCAGGTATATCTGGTTTTCTTGCAAGTCCATGATATATTAAAAATTCAATATTTGTTTTATAGTAAATTAACTTGGAGTATAGAAGTATCTATCTTATTAAAATATATAGAGCCATTAATAACATGTTTCCAATTATTTCCTTTTTCTAAATTCTGTTTCCCTGACATAGTTTTGCTGCTCAATTAAAATATTTTCACACAACTTTCATTCTATATTCACTTTTTCATCTTACATATTCTTTTTCCTAATTTTTTCTTTTCTTATTTTTAATGTAATTTTGGCATTTCCCCCTTTACTCTTCGAAAATGAGAGGCACAAACCAAAATGGAAATATAATTTTCTATAAGAACATTTCTTTAAAAATTTCTATTACTTTTGTTTTTCATAGTTATTCCTGTTTCAATCATTGTGCACTGTGTTTTATATACTGAATTAGCATTCATCAATGCTTTTTATCATTGTCTCTTCAAATCCCCATTGCAGCTTGCCTATTCCTATTGTTGTTACATGCCAGCAAGTCACCTGTTACTCATAGCAACCCTATGTATAAAAACTCTGAACCCTGCCCTATTCCCTATTCTGAGCCAGTCTCACTGACTCAGACACATCTACCTCATTGCTCTAGTTACTATATCAATCTATCTCATCCAGGGTCTTCCTCTTCTGTACTGTCCCTCTACCCTTCCAAGCACGATGGCATTCTCCAAGGATCGGTCCCTCCTGGCCACATGTCCAAAGTATGTAAGACAGAGCTTCAAAATCCTAGCCTCCAAGGAGAAACGTGGTTTCACCCTCTCCAAGACAGACCTATTTGTTTTCTTGGCAATCTATGGTATGTTCAAGAATTCTCCATTACTACAACTCAAAGGTATCAATTCTTCTATCATCCTTAGTTATTATTCCTCTCTCTGATAAATAAGTCATTGTGAAGACCATGGCCTGGATCAGGAGCACCTTAGTCTCTAGATTGACATCATTGCTTCTCAGTACTCTGGAAAGGTCTCTGGCTGTAGATTTACCTAACGCAATTAATCTTTTTATTTCCTGACTGCTGGTGCCAATAGTCTTGATTATGGAGCAGAACAAGCTGTAATTGTTAACACCCTCAATCTCTTCTCCATCCATCATGGTGCTGTCAGTTGGCCCAGAGGTGTGAATCTTTGTCTTCTTGATGTTGAGCTTCAATCCATATTGAAGACTACAGTCCTTAACCTTCTGAAGCAAGCACAGGGGTATCTATCTGTGTTTCATTGACTATGCAATGGTATTTGACTGTGTAGATCACAACAAATTGTGGTTAACTTTGAGGAGAATGGGAATTCCAGACCATTTGATTGTGCTTATGTGAAACCTATCCTTGGACCAGGAAGCAGTCTTAGAAAAGAGCAGGGAAACACTGAATGGTTCAAAATCAGCGAGGGAGTGCGTCAGGGATGTGTCCTGTCTCCATACCTTTTCAATCTATATGCAGAACAGATCATAAGTCTGGGTTTTATGAGGAGGAACGTGGCTTCAGGATTGGAGGAAGACTCATCAACAACCTTTTGTTATGCAGATGGCACAACCTTGGCTATTCCTATAGTAACATTTTATCCTTTCTCCAAACTAATGGGATGAGGGGAGAGTGAAATAATAGGAAAGACCTAATGGAAACCTGAAAGACAGGTAAGATAGGCGTAGATCAATAATAATTTATTTTATAAAATACAATGTGTGTTAATGTATGAAACACAATGTGAATGAAGGATTGTGTGAAACACAATGTACATGAATGAAATATAATGAATAAGCACTTTGTATAAAAACTAATATAAAATAATTTTTTGAAAAGCAGAATCCTGGTTCTGCAATAGAGTAGTTTTCTATGACAATTTTAGCAGTCACCCATCTAGTCCACCAGATAAATAGTCTCTATGCATAATGGTACAAACATAATCATGAAATTGAGCCTCTATAACCTTGTTTTCTGAAACTGGGGAAGACCTGAAGCATTTGTTGCTTCAATATGAAGTTTAACATCAAGAAAAGATTCTCACCATTGGGCCAATTGGCAGCACCATGATGGATGGAGAAGAGATTGAAGTTGTCAACAATTACAGCTTGCATGGCTCCACAATTAACACTTTTGGTACCAGTAGTAAGAAAATCAAGAGATGAATTGCATTGAAAAAGTCTGCTGTCAGGAACCTCTCCAAAGTGTTAAAAAGCAATGATGGCAGTCTAAAGACTAAAATGCGCTTGATCTAGGCCATGATCTTCACAATTACTTGCTATGCATCAGAGAGCTAGACAATGACTAAGGGTGACAGATGAAGAATTGATGCCACTGAGTTGTGGTGTCTTGAGTTGTGGTGTATGAACATACACCATGGACCACTAGTTGAACAAATAGGTCTGTCTTGGAAAGGGTGAAACTAGGTTGAAATTCCTTGGAGGCAAAGACTCTGGATCTCCACCTCACATACTTTGGCCATGTGGCCAGGGGAGACCAGTCCTTGGAGAAGGCCATTATGCTTGGAAGGGTAGAGGGACAGTGCAGGAGAGGAAGACCCCAGATAAGATGGATTGACATGGTAACTGGGGCAATAATGGTGTCGGAGTCAGTGAGATTAGGCAGGGTTCAGAGTTATTGTACTCTATGAGCCTAGGGACCACTTGATGGTACATAATAAACAACACCACAATAAGATACTCCAACTCTTGACCCAGGAACAAATTGATTTTTTTTTATGAACACTATTGGTTCAATTCAGTCTGTATAAAGTCTGGTTGTTTCCTAGTCCATATATTAAGCCTCAAGTATGCGGGTTGCACAACTCAGAAAGTTGCAAAGTTAGAGAAGGAAGACAGAGGCAAGACAACTTAGCTAGAAAAGTTCTGCTTTGGAGAAAAGAGAGCAGGTCAGATTCTTCAAAGGACAAAGATATGTTCTGGATATCGGTTTACATGGGTAGAGAAGTCAGTCTGTGGAGTTTTTGGATTTCCATTCATTCATTGTTGAACATTTCTCCCCTCCTAACCCTCCCCCCAAGTACACTACCCTCTTGGAAAAGTAAAAGAAAAATTCTTTCATTGTTTTACAATCCCTCCCCTCAGGTCCACTCCACTATGCAGCCTTTGCTTTGGACTCCTGTCATGACAAAAATACCTAATCACATATCCCTTTTAAACAGTTTTCTCCCTCATATGATTCAATGCAGTATATATTATTTAATCCATCTTTCTCAGTCTCCCCCCATCCCCGATGTCAGTCTTGTTTTATAACAGTGGCACCATGCAGTATTTGTCCTTTTGTGACTGAGATACTTCACTCAGCATAATGTCCTCCAGGGTCACCCATTTTGAATAATATTGCATGAGTTCCTTGTTTTTCAATGCTACGTGGTATTCCATTGTGTGAACATACTACAACTTCTCTATCCATTCGTTTGTTGATGGGCACTTAGGTTGTTTCCAACTCCTTCCTATTGTGAACAAAGCTGCGATAAACTTGGGTGGCAGTTATAGTCTCTTTGGGGTATATTCCCAGGAGTGGAATTGCTGGGTCAAACAATATGTCTACTTGCAACTTATTAAGAAAGCACCATACCGCCTTCCACAGTGGTTGCACCATTTTACATTTAGTTTCTGGAGTTCTTTTAAGATAGCATTTATATGAATAAATACCTGGGGCTTCCAGGATTAGTCTTACTGAGATAGATTTTCAATGTCTCACTCCTAGAATGGCTGTTTTTGTTGTTGTTAGGTGTCATCAAATTGAGTACTACTCATAGCAACCCTAAGAATATCAGACTTAAACCCTGCCCTGTCCATGTCTTCAACACACTTGAACCCATTGCTGAAGTAACTGTGTTGGCCTATCTCAATGGGGGGGGGTCTTCCTCTTCTTCGCTGACCCCCCATATTTCCAAGCATGAAGTTCCTTTCCAAGGAATAGTCTCACCTAGCTACACATCTGAAGTGTGAAAGATGAAGCTTTACCATCTTTACTTCCAAGGATCACTCTGGCTGTACTTTTCCAAAACATATCAGCTTGTTCTTTTGGCAGTCATAGGATATCCAGCACCACAACTCAAAGACGTCAATTCTTAAATCATCCTTATTCATTGATTGAGAAGAGTAGGGTCTGAATCAGGCACACTTTAATCTTCAAACTTACACCACTGCTCCTCAGAATTCTAGAGACAACTCATCAACAACTTGAGTTATGCAGATGACACAATTTTTCCTTGCTGAAAGTGAAGACAATATGAAACACATGCTACAGAAGATCAAAGACTATGACCTTCATTATGGATTGTATCTTCACCAAAAATAGTTAGGATAGTAGAAAGATGAATCATTGAAATTGTGTGCCTTGCTTGTGTTCTCTCTTGATGTTGGAGCAGTTAGCATGATAATAAACATTTGAGGGCCTGCTGCAGCAGTGATTCTGGAGTATTTTTATCTTGGCTTAAGAGAAACTAGAAGGAATCTAGCATGGTCTATCGGTAAGGAGTTGTGCTCCAAGCCCTTAGGCACACGGTTCAAATCCATTAACTTGTCTGTGGGAGAAAGATAGGCAGTTTCCTCCTGTGCAATAAACAACCTCTGAAAACCCCGAGGAGGGTCAGCTTTGAGTTGGCTCTGACTCAATGGCACCTAACAATAACAACAAGTATTCAGAAGTTTGTAACTAAGGAATTGTGGCAGACACAAAACTTAATAGGAACAAGCTTTAGTATTTTCATTTGCTTTATTTTGGTTCATGAAATTGAAAAGCTTAAGCCATAATAAAAGAGTAGGTAAGTATGCTTTTCCATTCTTGGCAGATGTTAATGATGCCTCTTTTGCTAGCATCCTCTTTTTTCTGACTTTTTGACATTATCACTCAGTTACTGTTGTAAAAGAAATAGAGAAAACCAGAAACATTAGTCATTATTAATAAAAGAGACATAAGTTCACTATATAATTATAGGTATAGAAATTAAGTATTGTGTATTAGCATTTATACCATTGAAATTTACATGGTAAAGGATTACTTAAAAGGGAAGCAGACAAAGCCAACATGTGAAGGGCTAACAATGAATATTTATTTGACCATATTTATATGTAGAGAATGAGCACTACCAAAATTCCTCTGTGTATTTCTAACAGACATCCCACTACAAAATCCATGTCCAAAACCAAACACACTCTTAACATCATCCAAATGAATTCTTGCATGAAAAAACTACATGTCACAGGCAAAATGTGTTTGTTCCCATCCATTCTATCAGAAATGTTGAAATTTAACTTCCTCTTATACTAGTTCAAATGCATTCACTCACCATGCAAATGAATTTTGACTCTGTAACATTCCTCAAAATCTTTGTTTCTTTCCATTTTATCAACTCTGTCCTCATCACACCTTTTCTATAAAGTCAGTATACTCGTAGCTATTTCAGTACTATTTTGAAACCAATCCATTGCTCTATACCAATGATATTTTTAAAATGCACCCATAACACTTCAAAATTATTTCCTATTGCTATAGCAGGAAATTTAGCCATTTCTCAAAGAATGCAAGGTACTTACTTGTCTTGGATTATTATTACTAATAAAGATTCTATCTCTCAATGTTCACACATACACATTTGGAAGTGATTCAAAGTTCGCACATATACAGGTTTTTAAAAATTGATTTGCTTACAATATTCATGTTGGGTTTTACAGTTTTTCATTCATATTGCGTTTCTCACAATATGAACTCTCATGCATTATGTTTTATAAAATTAATCCCCAGTGGACCCTGCCCATCATTACCCTGTCTTTTCACCCGGACCCTTCCCATTTCTTTCCACCACCCCTCCACCCACCAAACTGTGCAACCGTGTGATTTCACTCCCTCCCGTCTTCACCTTTTCATTCCTACCCCTTCCCCCCTTGGGGTCCCATACATGTTTTACTAGTTATCCTTCTTTATTTAAAAAAATAGTCTTATGCAGTATTTGTCCTCGTGAGACTGTTCACTTGGAAAAATGCTCTACAGTCTCAAGGTTGTTTTTGTTTTTGTTTTTGTTTTGTTGTTGTTTTTTACGTACTAAGAGCACAAACTTTGAAAGAAGACCTGGATTTAGGTTTTAGCCCCTTGTGTTTATGATTTTTCTTCTTACTTCTAGTGATCCAACTAACATAGTAATATAATAATGTCTTTACCCAAATGAATGTCTAAGATTAGATTTTCATATGAATGCTTATTTTATTCCATCTGTCACAGATTAAATTGGGCCCCCTCTCCACCACCATACATGTATATATAATTTGGAAGGTATTTAATGGTCTCCCCATTATCTGATAAACTAAATAATTGTAAGACGATTAAGGATAGAATGTAACGTCCCTTAATCACTTTACAGACCTGACAGATGTGAGAGAAGTTCCTAGATGGTGAAAGCTATAACACATTTTATCTCGAAAGAAAACTTTTTATCTCCTAAGAGAGTTTAAAATGGAGGATATCAATAACACCAAGAAAGAGGTTCCTGCACTGAGAATCTCTGACTTGGCTATCTCCTATGAATCTCAAGTTGGTAGAAATAAAGACCTTCCAGAAAATACTGAGAGATACTTTATCAAGATTTGGCACTGTGAATTTGGACTTCTACTCTCTTGAACTGTGAGAGATGAAATTTATATTCATTAAAACCATCCATTTGTGGAATCTCTGCTAGAAAATTACTAGGTAAATATGATACTATGCTATTGCTGTTGTTATGTGTTTTCGAGTCACTTGCAACTAGTAGCAACCTGATGCAAAACAGCTCTGCTCTCTGCTCTATCCTGTGCTAACCTTTATGTCTCTGACACACCCATTATCCCAGTCACTGAGTCAGTCCATCTCATCAATGGTCTTCCTCTCTTGTGCTGTCCCTCCCCTTTCCCAAGGATGATGTCCCTCTCCAAGGACTGGTACCTCCTTGCAACATGCCCAAAGTATGCCAGAACACTGTTATGGTAAATAATATTTTTCCTGTTTTTTTGGAAAGGGATACACACACACACACACACACACACACGTATATATAACCTCCAACATTTTCAAGACCATTGTTTCAGTCACTGTCTCAATCTATCTCCTTCACCATATTCCTCTCTTTGTCTCTTCTTCTACCTTTACTAGCAGGGCATCTTTTCCAAGTACTACCTCCTCCTGACAACATGCCCAAATATATATGTCTAAATGGCAACATCCTTGCCTCAAAGGCACACCCTGGCTGCTCTTCTTTCATGACAGACTTGTTCGTTCTTTTGGCAGGCCGTAGTACGTTCAACTCTTCACCAACATTACAATTCAAAGTCATTGATTCTTCTTCAGGCTTTCAGAGTCATTGTCCAACTTTTGGATAAATATAAAGCAATTTAAAAATACCATGGCTTGGATCAAGCACCAAATAGATTCTCAGTAAATACAAATTCAATTCCCACCCCCCAATCACTGAAAGATTGTTTAAAAGTTCAGATTTTCCAGTTTGGTTGCTTAAAATAAATTTCAACTCTGAAACATTAATTACATGAAACTAAAATGACTTCATTATTTCATGCCTATTTTCTTATTTCTAAAATAAAAATAGCAATGCTCAAGTCTTGGTGAGAAAGAAATGTAAATAAAGTTAGACAAAAAATTACTAACAATTAGAGTCTGAAATATAGTAAATTTAGTAAAAATTCTATAAATGTTTAATGTTAATATAAATTTCTAAATTAGAAACTAGAAGAGGTAAGATTAAATAAGCAAGAATATATGATTTTCATAAGTATTTTAAGAAAATATTTCAAAGCTCAGCTTATATATATATATATTTTAGTTAATAAATGAATTACTAATATTAGTGTTTTTAATAGTTTTTTAAAGCTTAACATATTAGTTTGTTTATATTTCTAAATTAATAGAAAACATAATTAATATAAAAATGCAATATTTTAACTCTTGATGTAAAAGTGTCAGAATAAATAAATATATTCAGGTATTGTAAGAAATAAAACCAACTGGTTGAATTATATCATTTTTTCCACATTTAAATTATTTAAATTTCAAGTCACCTTTACTACTGTGTCAGATTGCTGTTCTGATTGCTGTCTTCAGAAGCAGAGCTGTATAACATAGATAATATAATTTGTTAGGTTTAGAAAACAATCAATGATGTAAGTAGTAAAATTAAAACGTCTTGATTTTACTAACAACTAAACACATTACAATCTGTACTTCCAATATTCATCTCACTAAAACAAATGAATGTTCCTGAAAGGAAGATAAGGTAGTAAGCAAAGTTGTTTGGAGCAGAACTACCTATAGTAATTACAGCCAACATAGCTTCTCATTTGAAAGATACTGATTATTTACTAAGTAGCTTCAGTTATTTCTGATCAGAAAATGAAAGGTAATTTACTGCCTGAAATTTGAAAGTAATTTGGAGAGAAACCGAAACATTGTCACTAAATACTTCTAAATATTACCTTAATCTGTAAAAGCCATCTGGACTATAAATATCCTGATGTAGATTTAAACTCTTCTTAAAAAAATAAGTCAATAAGTCATTTTACTTACTCTTCATTTATACTTCCTCTGTTCCAAAACTCCCTCATTTTATTCCATTTTAGAGCTATAAGGGTAGTTAAGACGAGCAAAGGTAGGAAAACATAGAAACTGATCAAAAGATCATTTCTCTTACGAGCAGCACGCTGTTTTACTATTAAAGGCACACCGGACTCTGAAAATATCAGAAAATATTAATTTTTAAAAA